CTACAGTGTTTTCACCATTAAAATTTATGATCGTGGTCTTTCCTTCTTGCCTTTGTATAGGGCCAAAAGAGAGACATTGGCTGTTTTGACAACCTTAAAGCGAACTCCAGGAATATCACCAACAGCATGACCTTTGCAACCAAATCCAGTAACAAGAACTTCATCGTTTTCCTCAATAAAGTTTGAGCAACCATCATTGTGTACAAAGGCTGTGATTTTCTTGCCATTCTTGATCAGCTGGACCCTGACACACTTCCTAATGGCAGAATTTGGCTGCTTAGCTTCAACTCCTACTTTTTCTAGCAGGATTCCTTTTGCATGAGAAGTACCTCCAAAAGGGCTGGCCTTCAGGGCTATGCCCAAATGGGCTTTCTTGTACTGTTTATCATGCCACTTCTGGTCTTGTCGGTGGCTACGGAGCTTCCTAGCAGTACAAAGTCCATGACACTTGCCTATCCTGCCGGCGTCACGGGCCTGAGCGAAAGAGTGCTTTATTCTATTTTTTAAGAACAGAGACAGAGTCTCACTATGTTGCCAAAGCTGGTTTTGAACTTCTGGACTCAAGTGATCCTTCTGCCTCAGCCTCCCAAAGTGCTGGGTTTTGAAGGCATGTGTCACCATTCCCGGTTCATCATCCAGTTTTAATTGTTATTGTCTTATGGCCTTCAAAGGTCTTGGTATATTGGGAGGATTACTTGAGCCCAGCAGTTTGAGACCAGCCTGGATGATATAGAGAGATCTCAAAAAAAAACAAAAAACAAAAAAAGCCTTGGTATAAGGTTGAGAACTCTTCCCTAGTTTCCACATAGATGGTGCTATTGTTCCTAGCACCTAAAAGAAGGAAGTTTTGTGGGTCTGTACCTATCCTTTCAGATTTGCTGTAAGTCGTAAACCCAATGTTGAAGTATTTTATTTTAGATTATGCTCATATGGTGACCAGACCTATGATATGTCAACTGGTCAATATTTTTTTTTTCTTTAGGCCCTTTGTAATTTGGGATCTTTTGCGTTGCCCATCAGCACTGTCTAGGGATTCCCGCAAACTTCAGCATTCTCTTCATGTTTATGTCTCCTGGGTGCCTTTTTCTGTTTACATGCACGATAATTTCTATCCTGAAAATTAACTTTTCTTTCTTTCATTCATTCATTCTTTCTTTCTTTTTTTCTTCTCCTTCTTTCTCTCCCTCCTTCCCTCCCTCCGTCCCTCCCTCCTCCTCTCTCTCTCTCTCTCTCTCTCTCAGACAGGGTCTCTGTTGTGCAGCCTGGAGTGCAGTAGTGTGATCATGGCTCACGCAGTCTCAACATTAAGGGCTCAAGCAGTCTTCCCACCTCAGCCTCCTGAGTAGCTGGGACTACAGGCATGCACCACCAGGCCCACCTAATTTTTTGTTTCTTTGTGTGTGTGTGTGTGTGTGTGTGTGTGTTTTTTTTTTTTTTTTTTTTTTTTTTTTGTAGAGAAAGAGTTTTGCTATGTTGCCCAGGCTGGTCTCAAACTCCTTGGTTTAAGTGATTCATGCATATCGGCCTCCCAATAGGTGGCTCATGCCTGTAATCCCAGCCCTTTGGGAGGCCGAGGAAGGTGGATCACCTGAGGTCAGGATTTCGAGACCAGCCTGATCAGCATGGTGAAACCCCCATCTCTACTAAACATACAAAAATTAGCTGGGCATGGTGGCAGGCACCTGTAATCCCAGCTACTTGGCAGGCTGAGGCAGGAGAATCACTTGAACCTAGGAGGCAGAGTTTGCTGTGAGCCAAGATCGTACCATTGCACTCCAGCCTGGGTGACAAGAATGAAACCCCATCTCAAAAAAAAAAAAAAAATTAGCTGGGCATGGTGGCTTGCATCTGTAATCCCAGCTACTCATGAGGCGGTGGCAGGAGAATTGTTTGAACCCAGGAGGCAGACATGCAGGAAGGCAGAGGTTTCAGTGATCCCAAGTTTGGGCCATGCCCTCCAGCCTGGGCGGCTGAGGGAGAGCCACTGCGCCCCGCCAGTAGGCAGTATTATCCCCATTTTCAGATGAGAAACCTGAGAGGCAGAGATGTTAAGTGCATTGCACAAGTCACACTGCTAACACACGCAGAGTCAGAATACGAACCCCGGCAGTCAGCCTCTGGTCTGCACTCCTGGCCACTTGGCCATGCTGCCTCAAAATATGTAAGGGAAACATTCTTTTACACAGGACAAGCATTCAGTAAGTCCTTTTTATCATACTATTTGGGATATATACTATGAAAAATATGATCTTCCACGAATGGTACAGACAATAGAAAGCAAATGTCTAAGAGTTCCAGAAACTGAAGAAATAGGTAAACTCAGTACAAAATAAACATTTTAATCAATTAGTGACATATTATAACCAGATTTTTTTTTTTGAGATGGAGTCTTGCTTTGTTGCCCAGGCTGGCACCCAGTGGTACTATCTTGGGTCACTGCAGGCTCTGCCTCCTGGGTTCAAGTGATTCTCCTGCCTCAGCATCCTGAATAGCTGAGACTACAGGCATGTGCCACCACGCCCAGCTAATTTTTGTATTTTTGGTAGAGACAGGGTTTCACCTTGTTGGCCAGGCTGGTCTAGAACTCCTGGCCTCAAGTGATCTGCCAGCCTCAGCCTCCCATAGTGCTGGGATTACAGCCATGGGCCACTGCACTGGCCTATAATCAGATTTGAAGTCAACTTTTACCTAGTTAATGATAAATTATTCTTGAATCCTCAATGAATACTTTTGGTATTTTTCAACAAAACAAATTCAAAACTTCATTTTATTTTTCCTATTTAATTCTGTTTAATTTGGATAAATACTTTGCTCTAAACAAATGTCGTTTATTTACTTTCCATGGATGATCACGATAGATTCAGTCTTTATTTATTTATTTATTTATTTTGTTCTTCAGCACCACATTTGCTTACTGGAGCTATGGTTCTTCCACCAGCACTGTGTTTCCCTAGAGGATCTGGTTCTGCTCTGTTGGCTTGGTAATTTTTTTCCGGGTTCTGCAAGGTTCAAAGAGGCCACCATGCTCGGTCTTCTTTTTTATTTCTTTTTTCCCCCAGTGAAAACTGGAAAAGCTGCTAGACAAATTCTAAAAAAGACGTAACACTAGTAAATATTCTTATTCTGTGGGTACTGAGCATGAAATTCGAATCTTGGCTTCCCGGTATCTAAGGTAAAAAGAAAAAAAATGAGAACAAAAATATTTTAAAATATTTAACTTTTATCTTCATTTATTTTTCCCTTTCCTTTCTCTCATGTTAGCCAGGTCTGCGTTTTCTTCTTCAAGGTCAAGTCTGTGGTGAGAATGGACATTGAACTTGCCTAGAAAACTATCTGGTTTTATTTCAAAAGGCTTAGCCTCAGTAGAGGAGAGAAGTAGCAGGTAAAGATAAAATGACTTACAAAAAGCTGAAGTAAAAGAACTTTGCTCAGTTGAGAAAAAATATTCCACATGCTTAGTAATACCGGAGGAACCTGAGTTTTGGACGTGGGGACCCTGATCATGATTTGCGGTAGTATTGCTTGGGAGAGAGCAAGAGACCCCAAGTATGAAATTCTCAGCCTTGGCAAAAAATACCCATGCTGTAAACCTGGCGTGAAAGCAGCTAAGCTCTACTTGACCTGGAGGACTAATGCAGAAAGATCATGGAAAGGGCTATGACGAGATGACCAAAGACCAGTGGGCCTTTCTGTTACCTCCTTGATGCCCTGGCACCACAGAAGATTCCAGAACCACGAATGACCTTGGGGAGATTGGCATCAAGCTTAAAGAAGGAACAAAGTTAAATATGTACTGCTGGGTAGAATTGTGGGGTGGGGGAGTGTTGCTCAGAATCAGAAAGCATCTTGATGTACAAAATTTTTTGCACATCTGTACCTGAGCACTGATATTCCCACCCACTATACCTTCTCAGAAAAGACAAGAATCAAGCTCACTTCTGAGTTTCAAATGACTCACAGTGGCTGCAAGGACAGTTAAGGTTTTTTTTTTTTTTTTTTTTTT